AAGCAAGGTCTTCTGACAACTGGGGAGAAAGATGCAGAAGGGCCGCACCCAGGTTCACAAAGAGTCAGTTCTGCCAAGTCACGAGCCCCTGCTCTGCACACAGCCCTGCCCGGGCAGAAGCCAACTCAGCCAAGCCCCACCAGAGAGCTCTTCTCCAGGCTAGGGTGCAGGAAGTGTGGTTTTGGCCCCTGGTGAATGCCCTAGGACACTGGGGTGGAGACACAGGAGCTGGACAGAGGTCTTGAGCTTCAGAAGGCCCCAAGGAGGTCTGATGGGCCCCAGGCTAAGGAATTGGAATAACTCTTATCCTACTGGGAGGCGAGAGGCCAAGGGAGCCCAGGAAAGGCAAGCAATGTGGTGGCCAAGCCCTCCCCCTGCTGGCCACATCTGGAGTGGCAGTGCAGCCACACAGGGCAGGGTCCCCAGGTACATATCCCCACACCTGGGGCCAGTCAGCATCCAGTGTCCAGAGGCAGGTCAGGGCGAGGAAGGGCTCTCCAAGACTGAGAAGTCCAAGGTCCCTTCTCCCAGGTCCTCTGTTATGGCTGGGTGAGGCATCTCCCCGGCAACCTCCCTGAGCCCAGCCACAAGGAGATGAAAGGTAGGAGTGAGGGAGAGGAAGGGAGATGAAGGGGAAGAGGGGAGGATGTTGGGGAGAGGGCGGGTCCCACATTCCTGCTTATGTCTCACTCCTCTCAGGCCTGTCCCATGCCTCCTGGGCAGCCAGAGAAGCCGTGGCTGCTACCACTGCCCGGATTTCCACTCCCGCCCCCAGGTATTGATTTCCTGCATCATTCATTTGCTGGGCCTTGGCGGCTGTGATTAGCTCCCTCCATTCTCCCTATGGAGCCCCCCCGCCCGTCCCTTCATGTTCCAGCAAAGCAGAGCTAATACCAGGCTCTAAACGAAGCTTCGCCACCCTGGCCCCAGGAGCTCACAGCCAGGCCTGGCCAATTACAAGTAGGCCCTTGGCATGGCCCCAGCCTGCCCGTCAAAGGTGCTTTCCTGGCTAATGAAATCGTCTTTAACCACCCCTCCCCCATTCTCCAGAGCCCCCTCAGACAGGAAGCACAGATTACCAGCCTGCAGTGAAGGATGGGACATCATGTGGATCTTGACCTGAAGAGGGGTTCTCCTGCCTGGCATTGGGCCTGGGGAGCTCTCAGACTGGCTCAGGGGACGACTTCAACTTAGCAGGGCAGGGCCTGGGGAGGGGTGCAGACAATGCTGACAATGCAAACAGAACAGCATAGGTTTGTGGACACAAGGCCCTCTCTCTCCCTCATGCAGTTTCTATAACTGAGAAGGAAGATGGGACAGAGGCAGGGACCTTCTTGAGAGCTTTTAGAAAATCCCAAGCCTTCTGTATGCCTTGTGGGGCCAGAGTTCCTGATGCAATGCCTTCCTTCTCCAGGGGAAAGCCAGTTTTCAAGGCATGGGGTAGAAACTCTAATGAAAAATCCAGAGAGTGCCCACAACCAGAGCAACACCCAGAAGACGGCACTGGGAGACACACTTTCTGAAATGCCCTCTCCGCACCCCTCAGAGGAGGGAAAAAAACCTGACTTGGTGATAATTCTGTAAGCTATGTTGCTCTTGTCAAATTATTCAACATCTGTCTTCATGTTCCCACAAAAATTAGCATAGGATAGTAGTTTCTGATGACACCTTTGGTGAAATATTTTGACTTCCACCAGTAAGTTGCAAACAACCTGTCTTAAGGATAATGTCAATTCCCACTCCTGCATATTAAATAATCCAGGGGTTTGTTGTGTTTTTGTAAGGGAGAGGAGTCCCATGGACCTGACACTGGCTGGAAGTCCAGAAGCCATGGGAGGAGGAGAGGAAGCCAGGATGGAGGAGGGGGTGTTCTCTGATGTTATCCACTTACAGAATATTCCTCCATCACCTGGCTACTATCTTTGCCCCAGAACTAGGTCTCTGGGGCCAGCCCACCCCACTGGCTTGCCAGAAAGCAGATTACAGTATCCACCCTGGAGCACAACAAACTGGGCCAGGAGATTGGGAGGCGGGAGGGAAGAGGGGACTGGCTCCAACTGGACCATCTGGTCCAGTGCTCCACTGCTGTAGCATCTGTGCCCCAAAGAAGAGCAAAGCCAGACTGAGAGTGTCTCCCCAGCCCTATTGCAGACAGTGGACCTCAGAGCTGACAAGAGGATACTCAGAGGGAAGTTGGGCACAGGGTTCCAGGCATCTACTTCCCACAAGCAGAGACCCACAGCCCAGGCCAGATCCTGCTGGGCTTACCCTCCACATCCTGTTCTTCTTCTCTCTCCTCAATTCAGCTTCCATGTTAGCCTGCCCTCCCTCAGCCATACATTCTGGAAAGATGCTGATGTTCCTTCCCCAGGGCACACTTTTTTCTTTTGTGCCTTGAGTAAAACCTTCTGCCTCCCTCCTCACTGCCAGGGTAGCTGAGGTTCCCTACAGCTGCCAGCCTAGGACTCTGTCACTCTCCCTAAGCAGAGACTCTTAAAGAGACCCTACTACCCTGCAGGAGGCCATCCTAGACAGACTTCTTGGGGAGAAAAAATTTCAAGAAGCATTTCCTCAACTTCCCCCCAACAATGGCCTTTCATCATGTAACAAATATTTGCCCAGCTCCTGCTGTGTGCCAGGCACCATGCTGGGTGCTGACATACAATCACAGATATGAGTGACCATCCTTCCCCTCTAAACCCTACTCTTTCTCAAGCTGCTCTATCTGCTTGGGGCGGGGTGGGGGGGCAGAACTAGCTCTCCATACTATTCCTTGTGATACAGTGGTTCTCCCTTCTGCTATATATGCCTAAGCTTCTAGCATCATAAGGAACTCAGCAGTCTCTCACCCTCCTCCTCGTACTAGATATTCCCCTCTCTCCATCCACCTTGATAAAGACTGTCCATCCTGCAATTCCCCTGAGGCCCCAGACATTTTAGGGGCCATGTTCTTGAAGGGCAGGTAGAAAGAATGTCACCTAAGAGCCCCAAGTTGGCCCCAGTGCACCCAGCCCACATTGATTTGCTCTGAGTGAGAGCAGCTGGGACCCCGGCACATGAGAAAGTGGAGAAAATACAGAGAAAGGGGGACTTTTAAGCCTTCTGGCCCCAAAGTACTCTGAATCAAGGTCCGTAGAGACCACTGCTCCACCCCCAGCTCTCATTGCTGGGGTTTCCAGGCTAGGCTCAGGGAAGCCTCTTCAAGATGGGTCCCATGTAGCCCTGGAGAAGGCTGGAGAAGCGGGAGTGGATAGAGGAGAGGGATGGCCAGGAGATGGGCTTGCCAGATCTGCCCAAGGGCACTCGGAGGGAGAAGCACGGTGGAGGACAGCAGCAAATGGGGAGGGCTCCTCTCACTCTCTGGAGCCCCTGGGGTGTGGTGAGAAGGCAAAAGCCTCAGTGGGTCCCTCCTTGGGCCACCTCTTAGGGAGGCAGTAAAGGTATAGGGAAACCTTGAAGAGAAAAAAAAGAGGACCTCCCTGTACACCCTGATGTCTTTCCTCTGCTTTGGGGAGGCCGAGGTCTCTTGGACCCACTCAGCGGCCTCCTCCCCACAACCTAGCCTCTCTCAGTCCCTGCTGCATTCTTCCTCCTTCTTTCCCTTTCTGGCCTATGTAAAGGACCAGGCAGTAAGAGACACACAAACTAATTGAGAAGCAGCGTTTGGCCAGATGCCTGGGCCAGCCTCCCCAGGGAATAAAGCCCAAGCCAGCTAGCTGTGTAGGGCCAGAAGGATGTCACCTCCCAGACACCCCTCAGGACACCCCTTCCTCTTGCCAGGCTCAGGGAGGCAGGCCAGGCACCCCTAGAAGGAAGCATTTAGAATCTGCACTTGAGGCTGGCAGCTGAGGGGACAATGCCTCTGCCCCCACCCCTCAACAGAATAGGTCAAGCCCTCTCTTGATCTAAAAGCAAATAATTAGGCCCTCAACCTTAGAGAAAGAGGGAAAGAGAATCCTCCCCGCTCCAGCTATACATCATTAAAAAGTGACCTACACAGACCACCCTGCAGTCAGAAGGTAAAGTAAGGTCCATGTTGCCCCAAAGAATTTTCGTGCTGTGGGCCAGTGCATTGATAGCAGCCAGAACTCAAGAGCGAGAGTCCCTGGGAGGAGTGAGCCCGTGTGATCCTGAACGAATGATATCAGCTCCCGGGACCTTTCCCTGGGAAAACCCACGAGAAAGAAGGGAGAAGGGAGAACCAGAGTCTCCTCCGCGCCTGAGAGCGAGGCGTGGGGATGCGGTAGCAAAGCTGCGTGGCAGGAGGCAGAGTTTGAACACGCAGCCCGATGGGTGCGTGCAGTGTTTGCGTTTCCTGGGGACGGTGGCTGAATGTGTGTGTGCTCAGGGAGAAGGAAGGTGGGGCTGGGGTTTTGTAGCTGAGAACCGGGGATAGGAAGAACTAACTGGCTCAGGAGAGGTCAGAAAAAGGATTCTGGGTTCTTAGAAGCCAGATCAAGGGGATGCCGGCCTCCGCCTGGGCTGTCAAAAAGCGAGCAAAAGAAGCGAAGCCAAGCGAGAGCAGAGAAGGCGAGCCCACTGCCAGGCCGCGGTGCTGGCAGCCAGCTCGCCCTTAAGCCGGGCGCAACTCGGGATCGTGCATCGCTCGGCTTCCACTCCTGAGGCCGAGACATGGTAGGACGAGGTTTCGGTGCAAGTCGCTACCCCAGAGCCCGGTTTGCGGTCTGTCAGGATCTCCCGAGCCAACTGGGTGCTTTCGAGAGTTCCAAGTCACTCCCGCCACTGGCAAGGTTTGGGAAAGTGGGTACTACCTCCCCCTGGCATCCCCGGCTTCATGCCAGACCCTACGACCTGTCTCCGTGCTTCATCTGAAGCAGCTAGCTCGATCTCCTCCCGCTCTGGGAAAGGGCGGGTGCCCGGACATTCATTCCAGAGTCCGAGCCCGGTTCCCCACCAAACCCGAGCAGCGCGCACTTTGCGCCTCTTGCAAAGTTTCCTCGCGATGCTAAGCCGCCGTGGAGCGGGACGCGAGCTCTTACCGTAGACTCCTTGTCCCTGGC